TCACGCAATCTGGCAGCCCCTGTGCTAGAAGAGCCATCTGGACCAAAACCCCGGTTGATTATCACCCACCTGGTTCTGACAAACTTCAAGAGTTACGCAGGGAAACAGATTGTAGGTCCTTTCCATGCTTCATTCTCCTCAGTTGTCGGGCCCAATGGATCCGGCAAATCGAACGTCATTGATTCGTTGCTGTTCGTATTCGGATTTCGAGCAAGCAAAATGCGACAGGGCAAAATATCGGCTCTGATCCACAACTCCGCGAACTTCCCCAACCTACCATTCTGTGAAGTCGAGGTCCACTTTCAGGAAATCCTCGATCTGCCAGGTGGAGAACACGAAGTCGTCCCAGATTCCCAACTGATGATTTCCCGCAAAGCATTCAAGAACAATACCAGCAAATATTACATGAATAACAAGGAGACAAACTTCACCACGGTAACGACTCTGCTTCGTGAGCGAGGTATTGATCTTGATCACAAGCGGTTCCTCATCCTTCAGGGCGAAGTCGAATCAATCGCCCAGATGAAGCCCAAGGCCGCTAATGAACACGAAGATGGACTGCTCGAGTATCTCGAGGATATCATCGGGACATCCAAATACAAGACCCCTATTGAGGAGGCAGCAGCTGAATTGGAACAGCTCAACGATGTCTGCGTTGAAAAGGACAATCGTGTTCAGCACGTCGAGAAGGAGAAAACCGCCTTGGAAGACAAGAAGAACAAAGCCTTGGCCTACATCCAGGACGAGAATGAGTTGGCCCAGAAGCAGTCGGCCCTTTACCAGATTTACATCGATGAATGCGCTGACAATATTCGTGTCACCCAAGAAGCGATCCTGCAGATGCAAGAGCTCTTAAATATGGAGCTCGAGAAGCATGAGGGTAACGAATCTGGTATCAAAGAACTGGAGAAAGCTTACAAGCGAGCTATGCGGGAGTATGAGAATTTGGAGAAGGACCTGCAAGGCCTGATGAAAGAGATGGCGAAGTACGACAAAGAATCAGTCAAGTTCGAAGAGAAGAAGAAGTTCTTGTTGAGCAAGCAGAAGAAACTGGAGAAGTCCAAGCAGGCTGCTCGTCTTGCCGCATCCGAGTGCGAAAGCTTGGTGCAGAAACACGCCGATGATATCAACAAGAAGACGGCTGAGACTGCCGAGCTTGAAGAGGAGATGAAGGCAGAGGAGGAAGAGCTGTCTACAATTCGCGAGGGCTTGAAGGGAAAGACTCAGGGACTTTCTGATCAAATAGCTGCTAAGCAGAAGTCCTTGGAGCCATGGGATGAGAAAATCAACAAGAAGCTTTCCGCTGTCGCTGTTGCCCAGAGTGAGCTCGACATCCTCCGTGAACGAAGCAATGCGGGGGCCGTACAGCTAGAAGAAGCGCAGTCCAAGGTCACATCTATCGAGGAAACGCTGGCAACCAAGGAAGCCAATCTTGAGGAGCGGAAGGCTCAAAAGGCTAGTCTCGAAGATGAAGTCGCAAACCTGAAACAGGATCTCAAGAAATTTACCAGCAGAGAAACTGAGGTTCGTGCGCATGTTTCCAGCGCCCGACAGAAGGCCGAGGAGGCCAGAGCTAGCCTCGCAAGCACCCAGAACCGGGGCAGTGTTCTGGCTGGTCTTATGCGTCTCAAGGAGTCAGGTCGTATTGATGGTTTCCATGGCCGCCTTGGGAATCTTGGAACCATAGACGAGAAATACGATGTTGCTATATCGACTGCCTGTCCCGCATTGGACAATATGGTGGTTGACACAGTCGAGGTCGGTCAGCAATGTATAGATTATCTTCGCAAAAACAACCTCGGCCGTGCCAATTTCATTCTGCTCGATCGTCTTCCCCGACGCGACATGTCTCCAATTTTTACTCCTGAGAGTGTACCAAGATTATTTGACCTGGTGAAGCCCAAGGATCCAAAATTCGCGCCTGCGTTCTACAGTGTTATGCAGAACACACTGGTCGCCAAAGATCTGGAGCAGGCCAACCGCATTGCTTACGGCGCTAGACGGTGGAGAGTAGTCACTCTCGACGGCCAGCTGATCGACGTGTCAGGAACCATGAGCGGAGGTGGCACTCGAGTGGCACGAGGTGGCATGTCCTCGAAGCAGGTGGCCGAGGTGAGCAGGGAGCAGGTTTCCAAGCTCGAATCTGATCTCGAAGAGATGGAGAGGAAGTTCCAGAACTTCCAGAATAAACAGAAGCACGTGGAGGCCGCCATCAGGGAAAAGTCTGAAGAGATCCCTCGTGTCGAGACGAAGATTCAGAAGATCATGATAGAAATTGAGAGCGCAAATCGCAGCCTTGCAGATGCTCAGCGGAGAGTCAAGGAATTGAGCGTCGCACACAAGCCATCAAAGGCTGACGCCAACCAAGCTGCCCATCTTGAGGCCCAAATTGCCGCACTTGAGGAAGAAATCGAAGATCTCCGGGCCCAAAAGAGCGGAATTGAGGAAGAAATCCAGGTTCTCCAAAACAAGATCATGGAAGTTGGCGGTGTCAGGCTGAGAAGTCAAAAGGCGAAGGTCGACGGACTTAAGGAACAGATCAGTCTCCTCGCAGAAGAGATTTCTAATGCGGAAATCGGAAAGTCCAAGAATGAGAAGCTGATCATGAAGCACCAGAAAGCTCGTGCAGAAGCAGAAAGAGAGCTGGAACAGGTCGCGGAAGACCTCGAGAAGCTGAACGCCGACGTTGAGAATCAAGCAAACGACGCATCAGGTTGGCAGCAGGGAGTGGAAGAGGCACAAGAGGTAAGAGTGCAGCAGTGACCAATTGTTAGCAGCCCGACTTACACGTTCCGCGCAGGCCTTGGAGACGAAAAAGGGAGAACTCAAGACACTCAAGCAAGAATTGGACGAGAAAGTGGCTGAATTGAACGAAACCCGGGCCACCGAGATTGAGATGCGCAACAAGCTGGAAGAGAATCAGAAGGCATTGACGGAGAACGAGAAGCGCCAGCGATACTGGTCCGAGAAACTCTCGAAACTCACCCTGCAGAACGTGAGCGATCTAGGTGAGGAGCAACAGCCTACGGAGCTCCAGGTGTATACCAAGGATGAGCTCTCGGAAATGAACAAGGAGTCTCTGAAGGCAGTCATCGCTGCCCTAGAGGAGAAGACCCAGAACGCCTCCGTTGACCTATCCGTGATTGAGGAGTATCGCCGTAGAGCGGCTGAGCATGAATCTCGCGCCGCTGATTTGGCCACTGCGCTGGCATCTCGTGATAGCGCCAAGGCTCGACTAGACGGTCTCCGATCCGCTCGTCTGAATGGGTTCATGGAGGGATTCGGCATTATCTCCTTGCGTCTGAAGGAGATGTACCAGATGATAACCATGGGAGGTAACGCTGAGCTGGAACTGGTCGACTCGCTGGATCCATTCTCGGAGGGTATCTTGTTCTCAGTCATGCCTCCGAAGAAGAGCTGGAAGAATATTGGTAACTTGTCCGGTGGTGAGAAGACGCTCTCTAGTTTGGCGCTCGTCTTTGCGTTGCACCATTACAAGCCCACTCCTCTGTATGTGATGGACGAGATTGATGCTGCTTTGGACTTTAGAAACGTGAGTACATTCTTAGCCTCTGAGTGGACGGGTTTAAACTAACTGGCGTATTACAGGTCTCCATTGTAGCCTCTTACATCAAGGAGAGGACCAAGAACGCGCAATTCATTGTCATCTCGCTGAGAAACAACATGGTAAACGGCGGTCCATATCCCAGGTTATTCCATACACGGAAGGCTAACAACAAGTAGTTCGAGCTTGCCTCACGACTTGTCGGTGTCTACAAGGTCAATCATATGACGAAGAGTGTGACGATCGAAAACAAAGACTACATCACAGGGCGATAAGGATTGGGATTTTCATGTGTTTATTGTTCATGTCTCTTACGGCCGGAAATGGATGTGGATATGTTCCTGGTTTTCTTATTATTGCGGGCTGACGGTGCCTTTGCGGGACTATGTTATTGGTATCAAGCTTCATTATGGTGTTCTTGGTTGTTGAATTCTCTGAACTAGTTGAAGGGGTTTGGCCTTGCTATTTGTGCATTTGTGCATTTGTGGTACATATTTTTCTCTTTCCCGTCGAGATCAGTTCTCACACATACACGGATCTAAGTGGTCATCATATGTTCTGCCAGAAGATACATCTGTTCAACAACCTCTGCGGTGTAGGTAGACCAAGGTCTGAAATCAGAACTTCCAAGGCAATATGATCGCAGAGGACATCGTCCCATCTCTGATCTCGCTACAGTAACCTACGCTGTCCGGGATTCGACGCGGCATCTACCAACACTACCTTACGCACAGGCCAAGCAAGACATCCACAACGATCACATGTATTGATCTACTCAAACCCCGAAGAGAGAAGGTAGGCAAGGGAGACAGCTGACATAGAATACATGAGAGGCGTGTGGCATGACATGCATTGCAGACATGTTCTCTCGCATCGCAAGCGCTTCGTTTCGTCGTCTTTCGTAACGACATTCACATTCACGTCATGAGGAACCAAGCGCCGGCAATCCCCCCCTTCCTTCGTAATTAACATTAAAGCAGAAGTAAAAGTGATGTAAGTAAGAAGACAGCGAATGGGAATCAAGGTAAAGAAGAATCACGTATCCGCCCAGGGTGACCTGTCCACACATTCAGGGAGACAAGTGTGGATGAGGGATGCGAGGAAGAAGAGAAGGAAGAAAGAAGAAGAAGACACGAAAGTAAACGAGGAAGTAAACAGAGAGAAAACCGAAACCCGTAATTGTACCATGAACTCCGTTTCCATGTATTAGGACGCCATAGTCTATGTTGCAATCCATTCGGAGAAAATCAGATGAAGCAAAAGCCGGCCGTATGCAAGGTAGGAGAGTCGTATCAAGTGGTCATCGACCGCGGTAAAGGGGCAAAAGGACTGTGACTGTCTGTCACAGCGGTCGTTCTCGAGAGCCAGGCGATGGAGGAAAGAGGTGAGGATATTGCTATGTAGGTACTCAAATTGAAGCTACAGCTTCCGGCGATTAAGCAATGACAGTTCGACGAGGCGCGATAGGAATGGGCTTAGGGCCTGAAGACAAATCCAGACCAGATATTCCAAAGTCGCTCTGTGACTGGCTTTTGGCTGCCGAGTCCTTCCCGTCATCAACCAATGTGCCGCGTCGCGATTTAACATCGCCGTCGTCGCCTAGTGTGCTGCAAATGAATCGTTCTTCCGAGATTGGTACAGCCCCAAACATTGAGCCGAGCTGTTGCAAAAGAGCAACGAAGTGCGCGTGTATTTCTGCGAAGATGTACTGATTACCCACGATTTCGGAGAGGTTCCGCGCCCGAATCTGCCCAAGTCGGCGGGGCTGGCCATCTGGGTCGATTGTGCGGCCGGTGAGGAAGGATGAGACGGGGGTATACTGGCGATTGTTGGCCCGGCTCGGTCCACCATTTTGTTCCTCGAGACGCTTTGTCTCCTCCTGGTATTTCTCGGCCGAATTGACGATGCCAGTTGCGATTCTCCCAAAAGCACGCCATATCACCGGACACGCGCGGAAGGCCCTGCCTGCATCTTTGCCGGCCAACGCGACAAGCGCATAGCTACGCCTTTTGCCGCGAGCCATGGGATCGGGCAGGCGGAAGATGTATGCGATCGTATAGCCCGCAGTCGCATCACCGAAACACAAAGGTCCCGAGGAAAGGCCGCGAGGGAGAAGCTCGCAGCTGAGGGTACGAATGGAGGAGCGGCGGAGAAGAGCGTAGTCTGATGGGTTTGGAGGCCCACGGAGTGATAGATATGTGAGGATGTGAGTGTGACACGACGCATCGGAGGCGACCGAGGACGAGTGGAGGGAATCGGGAAGGGAGGCATGACCGTGTAGATCGTGCGCACTGTCGTCACCGTCGGAATGGCTCGTGCCGCAAGAGTAGACGACTTCTCTGGATCGCAAAACTGGGCTGCCGTTCCTTCCCTTGCCGTCGCGAGTGGCGGTTCCTGGAGCGCCCGGGGGGAGCTGCTTACTCACATCGTCAGGTAAAGTCAAGCTACAGCTGGCGCAAGTGTCACCGTCAGCTCCTCCCAGGCGATTCAATTTGGAAGGCTCGGTCGAGTTTGGTTGATTCTTAAGGAAATAAGGTGAATCTTCGATTTTGGGAGATTTGTCGGCCGTTGCGCTGGATGCATCTGGACGCTTCGTTGACTTAGCATCCCTGGCGTCGCCGACGTGGTTGCGCATGCCATGAGAGGACTGGGTATCGTGAGAAGTCGCGGGGGTATCGTCGGGAGAGAATTCGGAAGTATCAGGATAGCACTGAGAGCATGAAAAGGGTAGAACCTGCGAACAGATGATCGAAGTGGGACCATGCACTTCGCAGAAATGCGTTAAAGAGAGCTGGTAGAGTGACATTGTCAGCACCGAGTCCTTGTGAAAGGAACACATTTGAGACAGATTCAAAGCTTCCATGAGCACCGAGAACCCAGGACAGATATGCAAAAAGTCGCAAACATGTAGCAAGCGTACAGAAGGGCGATTTGGAGTGAGAAGTGAGGCGTATCCATTGCCAGCATAATGATATAATGGGATGCGCGCAATGTTGACGCAGCCACATGTGAAAGGGAGGCGTTGGTCGGTATAGAAGACACACATGCATGCGCCAAAACGGCAGCAACAAACGGCAAAATGAGGCGGGGAAAAGATTACTCACAATGAAGTCCATCTCCAAAGAAGATTAACGTCTAGCAGTATTAAGCAACCATTTTAGTCCATTGTTGCTATACATGCTTCTCAAGGTGGAGGGAGGTGGTGATGTCGAGAATTGAGATGTTCCTGTGGCAATGACGCAGGGCGAACGATAACAATAGAGGGTGCGGAGGGGGAGGAAGAGTATGCGCTACTACTATGCAGAGGGGGAAGAATGGACTGGACTAGAACATTGAGACCAGTCAAACCAGGAATGACTGTGAAATGTGAATGGATTGGAATTAGAAGAAGCCGCAGTAACTGAGGCTGCGAAGGCCAGCTTGCAGGCCAGACAGATTAAGTGGGAAGAGGTAGTAGATAGATGATAGATAGATGAATAGTATCGACTGAGAACGGCAGTAGGAAGTATTTAGAAGGAATAGAGACACAGATGATGATAATAATAATAATAATAAATAATCAAATAATTATAAAAAAAAATAACAATATTTTCTTGGAGAAGCAGAATAAATGGATAACTGCGATGCTAAAGCTAAGTAGTAGTACCTAGTTCGATTGATGGATCAACCCACTTCTTCTACTAAAATTCAGAGACTTATTAATCTTTTTTTTTTTTAGATGATTTTCTCTCTACCAAAGTAGCATAGTCTTCTCCTTGTCTACTCCAAGCCCACAATAACCTACAAAGTAGCGTCTTTCTAGACTTTTACTTGATCCGTTCCTTTTGCTGTTTCCAGCCATATCGGAAGGGAAAGGGAGACGGGAAGGAGACTTAGCTACCTTAGGATTCTTGGGTATGGTATAGAATAGTATCAGATGGTATGGTATCGTCATTGAGCCGGTGGAGGATTGCCGAACAGAGCAAGAGGCCCAATGACCAGTTGATTTTCATGGGCAAAGAGGGAGGATCAGGTATTGTCAGGCTAGTAACCACTAGTAAGAGTACAGGGAAAGTAACGGAGGGGCATAAGGTACTGTGCACATAGAACTGTCTACACTTTCTTTCTGTGGTAAGCACTCGACCTCTGTCAATCAAGGGTTATTATTTTATTATATGATTATGGTTATTTTATTTCTTGTGCTTATCATGGACTAGTTCTCCAGCATATGTATCTATGTTGTAAGCAGACATTGGAATATGGAAGTGAACACTGGTCGGAAGTCCCATGGGGCCAAGGGCTTCAAATGCTCCGTACCCAATTCGACGGTAGGCAATCGAAGGATTGTAGAACGAAAAATGGAAGAAGTCAATCCGGCCCAGAATCCAGATCCGTCTTTTCCCTGCGCTATTTTCTGGTCGCTCGATGGAGATGTCTGGCTATGATTATAATTGGGCAGCATTAATTGGATGTCCTCTAGTCTAGTTCAGGAAAGGTAGGATGAACGATGGTAAGAAATATCTTCAGCAGCAGCAGCTTACCTCTGAACTTGGGATCATTTTGAGTCACCTGAGTGACTTGAATGCTTCTGCAGGCTGCATACTAAGGATTTGATAGATAGATAGATTTCATGCATCAAAGCATAAGGTACTTACTTCATCATAGCACAGGTAAGAAAAAGCAATGCATGTTCCTATTTCACATGAATCATCCAGTCATTCTGCCTGATCCTTCAAAATGCAATGAGAATTGCCGGTCCTACGGCCCATCGGCAACATCCCAGTCTCCCGGAAGCAACAGGTCGATGCTTACGAAAACGGGGTCTGGACGAAAAGCCACCTGAGAACTTCCAGTTCCACAACTTCCACGGCCCATGGGATGTCATCACAAACTCGACTCCTTCGAAAGTTTGATCGTCCTGTTTCGACGCTTAAAAGGCTAGTACTCTGGGATCACCTCACAGGAATATGCCACTTAAGTCACCGAGTAATCGGATGAAAAAATAATGCAAAGAGTCAGTACATACGGAGTCCAAGAGTTTGAATGAGCATAGAGAAGCTAGCTCGCTACTGCGAAGTGCAAACGGTTCATCGCCGCCAGCCACAAGTCACAACTTGCAACTAGCAAACTTACAATTTGAACCTCCTATCCACCGTCTCACATGTGATGACTGGTGAGGGATCATCGGGTAGTCGTCGTCGTTAAGATCTCGGTCAAAATAATATTTACTCATGCAGTAGTTAGGTTAGTCCTCCTACTCTAGCCTAACGGTTGTTTCTTCTAGATTTCGAAACACACCGTGTCGACTCTAGTCGACTCCGTCTCAGCCTCCTTGAGCCATTACTCGTCATGATCTTTTTCCTAGTCTACATACTCCATACTTCCATAGTCTATCGCTTCCGGGGACAAGGTTCGGATCATATTCTTCCTCCGGAATAATAGCTCACTCCAGTATACTCCGTATTATCCTCTTTGTATTAAAGGGATCATTTGCTTGTGTTGTTTTCCCGTCTCTATCACAGAATAGGCTACATTCCCGACTCTGTGAGAAAGACGGTCAAGTCTTTTGAATACGAACTACGGAGTACAGTTCCCTTGTTTCATTCAGAAACCATCGATCCTACTGATGAGTCGCCAGAATCACCCGCACCACATGGGCACGTTGTCGATAGCCGTGAGACAAACGGCAGGATATCTATGCCAATCCTTTGCCTCCGATTTGTTCCAGCTCGGTCGCGGGAAACTCAGTAGAGTCGGTCAATCAGAGCATTTGGAGCTAAGCTGGTCAGAGTAAACGAGTAAACGACATGTCTGATCCGTCGGATGGGATGATGATGAAAAGACAAAAGTTAATAGGTAAATAATCACAACGCAGTGTCATGATTGTCATCTCGGCGCCCGGCATCCAATCCAAACCCCAATCTGGGGATCAAAAGTGGTGACGGGTGAGACCACAGTTGTCACTCTTTTTCCTCGAAAAGAAGGAGGTCTCGCTGCTCAGATACTAGTAGTTTCAAACAAAGATGGATTTATCCACGACGGAACTGACTGTTTAGGAGAGGATTGGCCTTGAGCATACTAAGCTTCCAGGACCTCCAGCCCAATCCCCGGCATGCGGCTGTTATTTCCTTTAATGATGGGAATGGGATTGTTAATAATATTGCATTTGCATGTGAAGTGCAGGTGCAAGTAATAATAATTGCTAAGTTACTACTATATGGTTAATTTGCGAAATTGCTTGCCTCGTATCCAATATCCTCTTCTCGACCGCCCATCTTCATCTCGAGTCAACAAAGTGATTCCATGAGTGCTTTGCTGGCTATCGGCAAAATGGAATTCAGCCGAATGCTCCCGGTAGGATTCCATGATTTCCCATCTTATGCTTTCCCACGCAGACTATCTACTCCGTGGGTTTTCACGAGATTTTCCCGAGAGTTGAGAAAGACTTAACACTCTTTGATATTGACCAGGATGATACCAGGGTTTGAGTCCTGCGACCGGCCAGATTCCCTGTCATGATTAGACTAGACTAATTCCTTTGGAGTTCCCGTACTAGCCTTCAAGCCTAGTGGTTGCTAGGGAAGTCGACAACGTCATGTCGCAGAATGATGGCTGTTTTTGAGTTCCTTGTTCTCACTTCACAATCGCTTTTTGTGGTTAACTTGTTTGGGCCTCTTACTCAATCCTTGCTTGGCACGAAGTACTTGGTTCTTCTTATTGATTGATAGCTCAGGACGATGAGAATATGTAGTTGATGGATCATTCTTTGTTGGGCCGGAAGCTCTTTAGCTCCAGGAAGCTGTTCCTGCGTTGTTATCGCATGGCGCTTGTGGATAAGATAAGGATCAGTTTAATAGACGTCATCAGTATAGAGTGTTCAACGATGCTTCATGTCTCACATTTAAGCAAAAGGACATGAACTGAATAACACTTATTCAGACTATGGCACATTTATTCCGCAGTCCTACTTTGTACAGGCATCACCTGAAGCTGAAAGTATGGCCCTGAGGCCAGTCTCTGCTGATTACCTAGATCACATAAATGGTTGCAGTTCAGGTGAGTGGACCTTGAATGTGCAATTAAATGAAGATCTGTGTTTCTCAACTCTTGTACTGTTGATTGAACTATCTAAACTGATGGGAATCATCTTCGGATCTTATGCTCGTCTAGGTACCACTCCATGGTTCCAAAATACCAGCGCCGTCCAGGTATCTGCTATAGGCTTCATCTAGTACATCTACGTAGTAGGTGACTTGGAGAAATCAGATGCATCTCCCGACTCTCTTCAGACTCAATCCAGCAGAATCGATTCAAAATTCATCTGGAACAAGTAAGTAAGCACACGACTTGGAGACTACATGATCCACCTCAGCCCGACATTTAAATCACGCGGGCTCCACATCGGTGTCCATGGATGGCAAATTGGTACGACTCGACTCCATCAGTTCGAAACCATAGGTAATTAGGTATGTACTCTGTAGTCCATGTCATGAACAGACCAATATGATCGAGCTTTTGTCTTTTCGATTGAAACAATTCCCCACGTGGCAACCGGTGCCTGATACTACTCTTACCTACGGAGTACGCTATGCAGAGAAGATGCTCCACTCTGATGGAATTGTTTTGCCGCGGACGAGGAGACCATCCTCTCTCGACTCTGACAGTGAACCAATGATTGAATGAAGCTCTAGCTTTCTATTTCTGTTCCTGCATACTGCTTTCTATCCGTACCACTGGCATAACCCCACGCAGAGAAACCACGAGAATCCAGCAATGGTACCTTAGTCGACAACCCCACGCTTCACGCCGAGGCACCGCTGATACCATCTTACCCACGATGCTGAAGCTCAGACTACCAGTTGCTCTGATTTGAGATCGACTAGG